GTACATGGCTTTATGAAGCTAAAAATAGCATTAATTGAGACAGGACTTTTGACCAGATCTCAAACATGAGTTATGCATCTTCTTTGGAATTTCATTGGCTGAAGTTCTTAATATACACATTTTAAAATAATCCCTGCATCTGTCTGGGTGGAGAGAGACTGGGGGATAACTTCACACCACTTCTGTCCTAAAGAAAATACTGTTTGAGACAGTGGTCTCTGACTTTGTGTAACATGAGACCAGGATTCTGCCCGACAGCTGATGTTCCTCTCCCTCTGACCTAACTGCACTGAGATTTCCCCAAGAAATGAACTTGGCAAGACTTACTCATCTTGTAAATACCAGAGCACGATATTAATAAAATAGGAACACCTTCAAATAACATTTGTATATAGATGACAGTGGGTTTTTTCCTTAATGAAGTTAAGAAACCATTTTCAATTAGGCACACTGGCATTTGTCTGTCATCCCAGCACTTGAGAGAATCAAGAGTTCAAGGATAGCCTGAACTACATACCCTACATCTGAGGCCAGCTAAAGATACATACATAGCAATACCCTGTCTGAAAAAACGCCAAAGCCGGGGGGGGGGGGGGGAGGCGGGAAAGGAGACATTTCATTTGCAATCAGTGCACTATTTTTTATTGCAAGTCTAAAGGAGGATTAGCTTGTGTTTAACATCCATTCTTCAACTGCTGCACCAGAGGTCTTTGGGGTGCAATTGCAATGTCACCTTGGCTAAAGAAATATATTTTTTAACTCTCCACACTGCCCAGATTCAAAGGCTGAAGACAGAAAGCCTCTATTAATGAGCTGCACAAAATGATTTAGGTCAGTGACACCTGAAGGAAGCCAAGAGTCCCATGTCACCTGGTGAGTGCTTCTCCCTTCAACTCATAATTCAACCCCTGCCTACAGACCTCAGTAACCCCAGGCATGAGCAGAAAGAGTGCCAAAAATAAGAAATCAGATACGCCATATGTCATGTTCATGAAAATTCCTGAGACGTTTGTCCCAGTGGAAACAGACTGGAGGATATAACTTCACACCACTTTTGTCCTAGAAGAAAATACTGTTTGGGACGGAGACCTCTGACTCACTGTAACCTGAGACCAGGATTCTGACTGCAGAATCCAAGAGAGCAGCTTATGGGGTGAATGGGAGCATAGCTCAGTAGAGTGTTCACTGAGCATGTGTGAGGTTCTGAGTTCGACTGTCAGCATGCAAAAGAAAAGAAACAAGAGGGTGGCTTGCCTCTGTCTCTCCTCAAGGATGTGTTACTACATGGCTTGCACAAAGTGAAGACCTGGGCTCCAACCCCAGGCCCTCCACTGCTGTGTGACCTTGGGCAAGACACCTTGACCTTCTTGGCCCTCTATTTCTTCTTCTGTAAAATGAAGCTCATTGCTTCATCTCCACCCCCCAAAAATAGAACAGCCCACCTGCTCTGGGCTGGCTCAATGCAAGGGCTGGGGTAACAAGACAGACAAAACACAGTCCCCACACGGATCCCCAAGGAGTTTAGAGTCTATCAGAGGAAGCCAACACAAAATTGTTCAAAAGCACCCAGATGCCTTTATAACACTACTGTGACAATACTGACTGGCTTTTTTTTTTTTTTTTTGCTCCAGGACTATTTCGGTCTCAGTGGAAGAGAGAGTCTTCTACCAGTTCACATTGGGGCCTTTACTGAAGACCCCATCTTGCTTAGCAAGCATGGCTCCTGGAGCCCAGGGAAGGTGGCAAAGGTGGCCCGTGCCTGGACCAAAACTGCATTCCCTCTGTCTTCCTGGTGGTTGACAACCGCATTCAATCCACTCTGCTTTTCCTGCTGCATGGCCAGAAAATCCATCAATCACCAGCAGCAAATCAACTCCAAAGAACACAGAACAGCCGCGATAAATAAACCCACTGCACTTCCTTTGACCTTGAAACCGAGTACAGACTGATTGTCATCCATTCTGAAGAGGACAAAACCACTGGAGACCCCGCAATTCCTTAGGGTCTCCACCAGGGACGCTTTAACATGCGTGTGAATGCTAGTGGTGCATCCCAAAGCAATGACGTCAGATGCTCTGGAGGAGGCACACTGGAATTCTTTAACTTAATCTCTGGGTTTATATTGGGCTGGGGACGTGGCTCAAGTGGTAGAGCATGTGCTTAGCAAGTGTGAGGGCCTGAGTTCAAACCTCAGTACTGCCAAACAATTAAATGAAAACTTTGACCGCCAGGTATGGTGGCCTGTGGCTCATGCCTGTAATCCCACCTATTCCAGAGGTGGAAACTGGAAGGATCATGGTTCAAGGCCAACTGGGAAAAAAGTTAGGGGGACACCCCCCCATCTCAACAGCAAGCCAAGTACATATCCATAATCTCAGCTATGCAGGATGCATAGATAGGATTGCTGCCTAAGGCCAGCTGGAGCAAAAGCACAAACCCTATCTCAAAAGCAAACTACAGCAAAGAGGGCAGGGGTATGGCTCAGCTGGTAGAATTCCTACCTAGTGAGGCCCTGAATTCAAACCCCAGTACTGTCAAAAGGAAGGAGGGATGGAGGGAGGGAAAAGAAGGGTAGCTGGGTGGGTGAGAGGACCACTGAGGTACACGTGACTGTGTGACTGTTTCTTCATGGTCTTTCATAATTATAGAGTGCCATGTGCTTATTTAAAAGATTCCAGTGTGCATTCCTTCCCTGTAACCCAAATTCCCGAAGGTAACATTGATTCTCTCCCAGCATGTTTACATAGTTTGGTTTCCATGCGGTTATTATTTGATTTGGATGAAAAATTACAGTTCTGCAGTTTAACTGTTTCCATTTAAAATATATCAAGAACTGCCTTCTGCATTGCTGGTAAACGATGCTAAGTCTGTTCCATGAAGCAGCTAGACAGCATGATGCCACTTAACCATGGCCTTCAGAGTATACTGGGTAAAAAGGAAGATTCTGTAACACAGCGCACATTTACTTATTTACTTTTTGGTGGAGCTGAGGTTGGAACTCAGGACTTTGCGTTTGCTAGGCAGGCACTCTACTACTTGAGCCACGCTGTCAGCCCTTTTTGCTCTGGTGAGTTTGGAGATAGGGTCTCGCTGCTTGCTTGCCAGGCTGGCCTGGACTTTGATCCTCCCAACGTCAGCCTCCCACTGTAGCTTGGGATGACAGGCATGCACCACTGCACCCAGCTATTGGTTGATATGGGGTCTTGCAAACTCCCTGCCTAGGCTGGCCTCCAACCTCAATCCTCCCCTTCTCAGCCTCCCAGTAGTTGGGATTACAGGTGCCTGCCACTGGCGCCCAGCTCATAATGCCATTCTTAAATAAGAATATTTATTTACTTGTATCTTTTTATACTGGCAAGAGAATAGTACTGGATAGACACAGATTTTAATCGTGGTTTCCTCCCTTCTTGGCTACTGTTTTTGAAGTTTTCCTACTGTGCTATGTAGGTTTTTTGTTTGTTTGCTTGTTTTGGATTTTTTTTTTTTGTCGATTTTTTTTCGGTACTGGTGTTTGAACTCAGCTTCATGCTTGTGCGGCAGGCACTCTTCTACCTGAGCCACCCCTCTAGCCCCAGTAACTTAAAAGTTTAAAAACAAAAAAAGAATGAAGGCAAATAGGACACAATAGTGACACGTGAGTATGACAGGTGATGGGTGCTTGCTGTGTTATTCTTTGTACAATGTGTATGTGTGCTTTCAGCTTCTCAAAAAAAGTGTATTAGCATTCTCCAGAGAAACAGAACCATAAGAGGTTATATATATTTTAATTTCTATATGAAGAAACAAATTTAGGAACTCTTAGTTATAAGGAAGAGATTTATTTTAAGGTACTGGCTCTCAGAAATATAAAGAGTGGCTCAAGTGGTAGAGCACCTGCCTAGGAAGCCTAGTGAGCATGAGGTCCCGAGTTCAAACCTCAGTGCCGCCTGCCGACCACAGGCTTGAAACCTAAGGAGTTGGTGGTGTGGTTCAAAGGTCTGAGAGCTGGAGAGCCAGGCGCAGATTCTAGCCCAGTCTGAGGCCTGAGAACCAGGATCTGTAGGGCAGGAGACGACCAATGTCCCCGCTCACACAGGCAGAGTTGATTCAACCTTCCTTACCTGTTTTTGTTTTTTTCTCTGTGTGTGGTACTGGAGTTTGAACTCAAGACCTATACCTCGGGCTACCCCACCAGCCCTTTTTTGTGATTTTTTTTTCAAGATGGGGTTCTCATGAACTATTTGCCTAGTCTGGCTTCAAATCACGATCCTCCTGATCTCTGCCTCCAGAGTAGCTAGGATTACAGGCATGAGACACCTTTTGGTGCCTAGCATCATCTTTTATTCTGTTCAAGCCCCAAACAAAGATGATGTCTAGCCACATGGGGGAGAGCCATCTGCCTTATTCAGCCCACCAGCTAAAATCCAAATTCCAATTTTGGAAGCACCTTCACAGATATACCCAAATGTAACATTCACCAGCCCTCTGGGCATCCTGTAACCCAGTCAGGTTGTCACATAAGATTAACCATCATGCCCAGCACAGTGGCTCACGCCTGTTATTCTAGCTACTCAGGAGGCAGAGATCAAGAGGATTGAGGTTCGAAGTCAGTCCCAGGCAAATAGTTCTTGAGACCCTATATTGAAAATAACCAACATAAAACAGGGCAGAGGAGACAAGCGTAAAATACCATTCAAGTTCACACACACAATCAATGACTTAGAAGAATAACTACCTGCCTATCATGTTGCTAGACACTGAGTTTTCAAAATAATGGGTTAGTCTTATAGCTTAACAAATAAAAACCTAGAGAGGCAAGGTGACAGACATTGCTCATGAGAGAGGGAAATGGCCGTGTGACTTATATCATGTCAACTGTCATCCCAGGCAGAATCTTAATATGCACCACTGTACACACCCTGAGTTCATGCAGACAAGAAGCCTCCAGGGCTTCCTTCTTAGCTGGAATCCAGATCAGGCTTTCCCTGAATAAGTGAAGGGCTACGAATCAGACCACTGACCTTTTTGCTCTTGTTTGGCCCAAAACATTTGCACCCGCTGTCGAATGTGCTTGTCCTCACGCAGCTTCTTCTGCCACTGACGCAGCTCTTGAATCTCAGGATCACAGCGAACCTGGAAAATTCCAGAATGCTTCAGCCCTTTCTCTATACACTTCTACATGTCAGCTCATTAACTCTGCTTGGAAACAGCTTTATGCCTCCCTTGGATGTCCTACTGGTTTATTTGTTTTTATATTTTGCATTGCTGGGGACTAGGCCTTGGACGTGCCTCTACCACTGAGCTCCACCCCCAACCGCAACTGGAGGTACTTTTGATTCTCAATGAGTCATGGTTTTCCATGAATTACCCACATTCCCAAAGCTCACGGTGTATTTGAGCGTAAACGAGGCTGTGTGAAGATGTGCTATACTATTTGTAGGTTGGGAACATTCTAGATCCCTGCTGTCCCATAGAAACTGTACACCATGTGCAGTGGTGTACAATTTAAAAATTCTTCAGTCTCATGTTTTTTAATAAAGTAAGCAGTTGAGCCAGGTGCTGATGGCTCACACCTGTAACCCTAACTACTCAGGAGGCAGAGATCAGGAGGACTGGGGTTCAAAACCAGCCTGAGCAAATAGTTCATGAGCCCCTATTTCAAAAAACCCATCACAAAAAAGGGCTGGTGGAGTGGCTTGAGTGGTGAGAGCACCTGCTTAGCAAGCTTGAGACCCTGAGTTCAAATCCCAGTACTGCCAAAATAAATAAATAGCTGTTGAGATTGTTTTTAAGAGTATATTTTAAATGAAAATATCCAAACGCTTGTCATTTCAACATGTAATCAGTGTAAGAATTATTTATGAGGTATTTCACTTTCTGTATTCCATGGTAAGTCTTTGACATAAGGTGCATTTTTGCATTGACCACACACATTTCAACTTGGACTAGCTCCTTCCAAGTGCTCCATAGCCACACATAGCTGGTGGCCACTGTGCCAGACAACACAGCTCTGCACTGACCACAGTGAAGGAATGGCAGCACAGTTCTATTCCATTGCGACTGACTGAGTGCTAGGCGCTGAGAATGAGGACGTAGTGAGTAGAACTGTCATAATAATTTTGCCTGCTTTTTCATTACAGCTCAATTACTGAGTGCTCATCCTCGGCTGTAAATAGTTTACAAATTTTAACCATCCAAACAACCCAGTGAGGCAGGAGTATTATCGCCATTCTACAGATGAGAAAACTGAGTTTAAGTAGCTTGCTAAGTTGTACAGCTAGGAAATGGAGGAGCTGGGCTTCATCCATTAGTGACTGCCTCCAGCTGCCTTTCAGAAACTTTCTTTTTTCAAACTCAGGGCTTAAAGCAGGCACTTTTCTGCTTGAGATACCCCTCCAACTCATTTTGCTTTGTTTATTTTAGAGATGGGGGTCTCAGGAAATATTTGCCCAGGCTCGCCTCAAACCGCAATCCTCCTGATCTCAGCCTCCCAAATAGCTAGGATTACAGGCATAAGCCACTGGCACCTGGCTGCCATTGAGAAACTTAAGAGTCTAGCAAGAGACTCCAAAGACTACCACAAGGTGTGGTAGGACTGAAGATGTCGTTAAGTCTGAGGGAATGCTGGGGGCTGCCAACCAATCAGGAAATATGTCCTGGAAGAGATGACTCCTCGGCTAGTTGTGAACGATGAACAAGAGTTAGCTATGGGGAGAAGGAGCTAGAGTAGAATGATGTCCCAGGGACAGATGACAGCTCCTGCAGAGGTGTGGAGATGCAAAGGAGTCCTGGGTGAACAAGATAAACTCTAAGGCAAATCGCAGTAGGGGACACAGAAAAGCCACTCACACCCTCCCCGTCCTCAGTCTTCCTATGTGGAGAGCCACGTACCAGAGAAGTCATTCCTCAAAGAGTGGATTCCAAGAGTGGAAATGGTATGTGGATGTGTGTCAACTTTATTTCAAAAGATAACTTAAAGTAGCCAAAAAAAGGCAAGTCCTTCCCGAGAAAAGAAGGACCACATTTTTCAAAGATGTTACCATGGTAATGCCATCAGCTTTGGGATTAGCTAGTCAAGATGGCCACTGTGGGGCTCCCTTACTTGGACAGTTCCGTTCATTTAAACGAGGCAGTAGCTCTATTTCTGGGGAACAGTTACCTGTACTGGAATTAGTAAGTGGTCCTGGAGAAGTTCATAACATACTTCAAAATCAGTGTGTCCCTTTCTATGCAGAGGCCATCTTCTATCTTTCCAGGTCCACAAGGGACTGCTGGCTCCTCACCTTTTTTGAACCCACAACTCTGGCCGATGGTCTGTCTGGCAGTGCAGTGAGGAGTTGGTAAGAGGGAAAAGGCAAAAGCAGCCACAAAAACCTTACGTACCTGCCAGTCCCAGCATTTGGGGGAGATGGACAAAGGCAACCCATGGCAAGGTCACACAGAATAGCACACACTGTCTACAAGGGCAGCTGCTCCCCAGCTCTGCTCACCTTTTTCAGGCCACCATTGGGTCTGTGGCTCCCCTCTACACCTGTCTTGGGTTTCCTGCTGTGATGACTGCAAACCTTTGAAGGACCTGGGCTCTCAAGTTTGACCTTCCAAAGTTACCCACACATCCATCTCCCCAGGACACAAACACAGTCCCTAAAGGGGCTAGATTCAGTCAGGTGGACTCCCATGGCTACATGCTCCCTTTCCAGCCCCACAACCACACTTCCATTTGCTTCTCTCTGTCAGAACCAGGCCCAACTCTTCTTCCTCTCTTGGTAATTTACTTTGGGGAGATTTGTTGTCCTTGCCTCCCACAGGACTTTCATCTGAGTCACCAGTAACCCCAGTGGCTGTCTGTGTTAATTGTGTTTAAAGACACTCAACAAAAAATATTCCCTTTTAATCATTAAGTACATTCAGAATGTTGTGTAACCATCAACACTCATCTAGGTCCAGAATGTAGAAAAAAATCCTGTACCCATTAATCCCTCCCTCCCCATTCATCCTTCTCCCCTCTCCCTTCCCAAACCACTAATCTGCTTGTCTCCCAGGGGCTCTGAGGGTTTGCCTAGTCTGGATTTTTCATGTCAGTGAATCGCACACTCCTGTGGCTTTCTGGGTCTGGATTCTTTCACTTCTACCGTGTTTTAAGGTTTATCTGCATTGTACCATGTCTCAGTACTTCCTTCCTGAACAATGTTCCATTGTACACTTAACACCACCATATGTCTGACCATTCCTCTCTTTGTGGGCACCTGAGTTGGTGACACCTTTTGGCTATTGTGAACACTATTATTTTTGTGAACATTTCTGCAAACATCTGGCTTATAGGAGAGTTTCTGTCCAAGTTTTGCTTAAATGCCTATATTTCTTGAGTCTTTTGTCTCTTAATCATCTAAATAACTACAAAAACATCCATTCCCCTACCATTCTGGAAGCCGGCAGTTGTTCACAGGGCCCTGCTGGCCAGTGTGGTGTGATTTTCCTCTGTTTGAGCAGCAGTCCCTCCTTCCTTTCCTTCCACTTCGTTCACTTTATCCATGGACAACAACCTTGGCCTTCTTAGTTAACCTCTCAGTGCCAGGAAAGCCTGGATCTCCAGAGAAGGCTTTTGTGAGCCAGGGGAAGGCACGCACCCATTGACATGGTCTAATCCCAGTCATTGTCACGATTAGACAATCAATTTATGGCAGTGGTTGTGTCAGTCAGCAAATACCACAGAGTGCAGTGTAATGTCCAACACATAAACAACATTACTGCAAAACAAAGGTTCCCAGGCCTGTGGCTTGCTTTTACTTTTTCCAATTATGTGTGGAGTCCATTTGCTCCTCCAAGACACCCACACATAGGACAACATTCATATAATGCGTTTGGGACTACACAGAACACAGACTCCTTTTTTTTTGGAGGTACTGGGGTTTGAACTCAGAGCCTACACCTTGAGCCACTCCACCAGCCCTTTTTTGTGATGTTTATTTCGAGATAGGTTCTTGCGAAATACTTGCCTAGAGCTGGCTTCAAACCACAATCCTCTTGATCTCTGCCTCCTGAGTAACTAAGATTACAGGCATGAGCCATCAGCACCCAGCAAACTTCTTTATGTGTCAATTTTCACATATTTACCTTAAAAATTTTTTTACTTTCTGTGGTACTAGGGATGGAACCCAGGACCTTGCACGTGCTAGGCAAGCCACTCTTCCACTGAGCTATATCCCCAGCCTGGGTGTCAATTAAAAAATCAAAAACTTGTAAAGGCATCAAATTCTTATAAGGGACTCTGATGATACAGAATACCATATTGTTTTTAAACTCCAACTCCAAATCAGACTCTCAGGATTGAAACTCGACTATGCAAATTACAAGCTGAGGAGGCTTTAACAAGTTCTTTAAAATTGCGGAGCCTCAATTTCCTTGTCTGTAAAATGGGGATAAGAATAATATTTACTTCACTGAGTTGGTGTGAAAACAAGCTGAAATAATACATCTAGAGTCCTAAGAAAAGCTCTGATACATAGTAGGCTCTCAACGTGTTATCAGTTTCTTAAATCAGTTAGTGAAGTAATGAGAACGGACTGGGTTCAGCTCTAAGCTGAATACTGCAGTTGCTGTGATTACATGAAGCCAAGTGACTGAGAAGCCAATGATTCACAAAATCGAGAGCAAGGTCCCCTCCCAAGGGTTTCCAAAGTATTGGTGCATAAATGCTTTTCTAATCCTCTAGCTTTTGGTGTGAGCCATCTGGTGGGGAGGAACTGGAGCTGTGCGGGGTGGGTGGAGGCAGGGAAGGAGAAAGGCAGTTGTCAGTAGTCTGAAATTACCCTCCCTAGATCTCCTTTGGAATTCCTCTTAGCTCAGTTGTTTTTCCTGCTTCTTGGCAAAACAGACACAAACATAGCAACAGCTACCCTCTCTGATAATTCCCTGGAGGCTTGCTGATTGCTCTGGAGAGAAAGTACTCAATGTATTACAGTTACTAGAAAGATGCTGGGGAATAATATGAGAGGCAGCTCTTTCAATAATGCCAAGGAGTGCCAACCCCCGGATTGGCATGAGGTGCCCCACAGAAGGTTCTTAGAACGTCTTTGCCATGGCCTGACATACTAATGATTATACTGAAGGACTGTATACTCAAGAGAAGCCAG